GTTGCCCAGGGTCATAAAGCTGTCTGAGGCAGGGAGGCAGGCTTTGAACTCAGGTATTCCTGAGTCCCATGTACCTTAGATATACTTAGGTAGAGGAATAGGGCTGTTGAATACTGCATATACAGTCAGGCACAGCTAATGTGTTAGTTTGGCTGAATTGCTTTCTGTTTTTTTTCTTTTTTAATCTTTGTTACTCAGGATTTTGTTTGATTGATAGGTGAGGTGGGTGAGATATATTTGGAAGATGACATGATATAAAAATACAAGGTTACTTTATAAGATGTAAGAACCTACGGTCACTCTCTCCTCTTTAGGCCATTCTGCACATAATGCCAGTGAAAGGGCAAAAAACCTGGATTCCAGTTCCAGTTCTATAACCTTGACTAAGTCAAGCAAGTCACCACATTAAATCTAAATTCCCTCAAATATAAAAGGAGGGTAGCTGGACTAAATGATTTCTAACATCACTTCCAGCTCTAACTTTCCACGTTAGTAAGACAGTACCTTCCCCCTTGCACTAAAAAACAAACAAAAAAGAAAAACAGTCCACATAAAGACCTCGAAACTAAAAAATTTTCACTGCCCTTTTATTTTCATAGGAATTAAAAACTTTTTGAAAAAAAAGAATAAGAAAAGAAAAGAAAAGCAGTTCTAACAAAGTCTTAGGCAAACTAACCAACATATTAACCAATTCTCTTAGTATATGTGACATCTTACCCCAACAGTTCCCCATCTCTGCTAAGAATGGAAAGACTGCATTCTAATATTAGAATATTTCTTCATCAAGGCTGAGTTTTGTCATTCTATTTTCATACCAGTCAGTCTCCATTTGCATTGTTATGGTCATTGTTTACATTTTTTTTCCTGGTTCAGTTAGGAATGGTAAGGTAAGAATGAGGCCAGAAATACTAAAACTCATAATGAGCAGAGGCAGTCAAAGAAAGGTACTGATAACAAACAGGTTTTGCTTTTTTAATTTTAATTTTTTAAAAACTCTATTGGGAGAAAGATGATGGTCAGAAGAGAACCTCTGCTGGAGGCAGAAAGGATGATAACTGACTACAGAGAAAAGGTACAGTTATTCAATTGTTACTTTTATTTTCTCTTCAAAGGAAAATGATCTTTTGACTATAAAGAAAAGAATCAATCAATCAACGTGTCATTGCACTAGGAGCTAGAGATATAAATATAAAGAATGAAATAATTCTTTCTCCCAAGGAACTTACATATTAATGGGGAAGACAAGTATATACATCAGTATGTGCAGAAGAAAGAGGATGAATGCAAATGAATACAAACTAATTAAATACAAAGTAGTGTGAAAGTGAGAACACTAACATTTCCTCCAGTTTGGGGAATCAGGTAAAGATATTCGTATAGAAGGTAGTACTTTAGAAGCATCTAGAAAGTAGGGATTCTGAGCAGAAGACTAGAGAATGCATTCCAGGTATGGTTGGGGGCGCATGAGAAATGGAAGAATAGTTATTGTAAAGTCCAGAGACAGGAGATGGAGAGACCAACATGACTAGATTACAGAGTGGGAGAGTAATATTTATCTAGGCTGGAAAGTCAGGTTGGGTCTGGGTCATGAAGGACTTTAAAACTAAGAGAGTTTATATTTTATCCTAGAGGCAGCTGGGAACTACAGGAGTTGCATGAATAAGAGAGTAATACGGTTAGAGATGTCTGTAAGGAAAACTACTTTGGCAATGATATAGAGGAGGACAGATTAAAGTGAAGAAAGATTTGAGGAGAGCAGACCATTTGGAAGGCCAGTGCAACAATTTAGGTCAGAGTTCCTGAGAGCCTGAACTAAGGGGGTAGCTATGAGTGCAGTGAATGGGTCGGATGTCAGAGTTTTTGCACAGGGATAAACAGCAAGATTTGGCAAGTGACTGCGGATGTAAAGTGAGGGTGAATGAAGAGTAGAGGATAATAATGAGGTTATAAACTTACGATGCTGGTGTTGCTTTGGAAAGTCATAAGGAAATTTGAAAGAGAAGGTTTGGAGAGGAAGAAATGATAATGAGTTCAGGTTTGGAGTTCAGGTTAAGTTTGAAAAGATAGCCAGTTTGAAATGTCTAATTTGGGATGCAGGACTAAAGCTCAATGGAAAGCCCAAGGCTAGATATGTATATCTGTGAGTCATCTAAGATAATGCATGGAAAGCTCTTTTCAAACTTAAAGTGCTGCATAAATACCAGCTGATGTCATTATTATTATAATAACATGCATAGAGATAATAATTAAAGCCATGGGAGCTACAGAAGTTACTGAGAGGTCATAGAAGTGAAGAGAATTTAGGACAGAACTCTGAAGAACATACATAGCTAAGGGATATCATGACGTGGATAACGATCCAGCAAAAGAAACTGAAGAGCGGTCAGCCAGGCAGAAAGAGAACAAGGAGATAATGTTATCAGAAAAAACCAGAGGGGAGAGTTTGCAAGAGGAGAGAGTGGTCAACAGTGCTACATGCAGCGAGGTAGATTAAGAAGGATGAAGACTGAGAAAAGATAATGAAATATGACAATTAAGAGACTGTTATTAATTTAGGAGATAAAAATTTCAGTCAGTCAACATTACTAGCTAAATGCTAGGAATTTATAAAGGGGGCAAAGCAAAATTATCTTTGCCTTCAAGGTGCTTGACTTCCAATAGGAGAGATAAGGTGCATACAACTACATATACACATATATGTACATATGTACATACATACATACATACATACACACACACACACACATACAGAGTATATGTATATCCAGAGTAGATGAAAGGTAATCTCAGAGCGAAGGCTCTTGCAATGAGAATTGAGAGGTGCAAGGCTTAAGGAGGAGATGAACTCAGAAAGGTCTTCTGCAGAAGACAGAATTTGAACTTAGTCTTAAAAGCAACCTGGGAAGCCAAAAGGTGGAGTTAAGGAGAATACACCAGGCATGGGGAAGAGAGTAGAGAAATGGGAGTGTTGGATATGAGGGACAGCAAGAAGTCAAGAATTTTAGCTGAGTAATAAGTGTTATGTCCTGGTTTTCAAAAAAGGGAAAAGAGCTTACAAATGATAGGCCTATGATTCCTGACAAAATTCTAGAATGTATTAAGAAAGCACAAAGAGCCAGAATGGCTTCAACACAGATAGGCCATGCCAAATGACCAGTATTGCTTTGTTTTATTTAACTAGATTAATTAAAACGATAGATAAGGGGAATGCTGTACATATATTTTATCAAAACATTTCATTAACATTTTCACTGGCCCACATGATCATCTGATGAAATTCAGAATACCTTCATAGTAGCAGAGCTTCTTGGGAAGTATTTTTATATTTTAATTGTTGTTCAGTCATTTCAGTCCTGTTCAACTCTTCATGACCCCTTCTGGGGTTTTCTTGGCAAAGATACTGGAAGTGGTTTGCCATTTCTTCTCCAAACCATTTTACAGATAAGGAAAGTAAGGCAAACATGGTTAAGTGACTTGCCCGGGATCACACAGTTAGGAAGTGACTGAGGCCAGATTTGAACTTGGGTCTTCCTGATTCTAGGCCTGGCACTCTATATACTGCACCACTTAATACCATGTGTTGTATTTTAGGTCCAGATTAATTTTGAAAATTTTTCATGTCATTTGGAATTAATCACCCATAATTTTAGTGCTTTTCTTTTGTGGGTTATCTGTAATTTATCCCATAAATAGCTTATTTGTACATAGTTCTTTGTATGTTGTCTACACTATTAGAGTATAAGCTCCTTGAGAGCAGGAGCTGTCCTTGATCTTTCTTTGTATCCTCAGGACTTAGCATAGCACCTGGCACACAGCAGGTGCTTAGTAAATGTTTACTGACTGATCTCACTAATTATTGAATAAAAAACTGACTTAGAGTTGAAAGGAATCCCAGAAGTCATCCAGTCAAACTCTTAGTGGAGATATAAATCCCCTTCTCCTATATACCTATATGAGGGTATCCAACTTCTACTTAAAGATTTCCAGTAAATTCTCAAGTCTTGACATATTCTCCCACTTGGTGACCTTATTAGTTTCCATGGATTCTCTATGCAGATCATTTCCAGATTTATCTATCTAGTTTAGTCTCTTTCTTGAACTCCAGTTCTGAATTATCAATTGCTCATTAGACATCTTGAACTAGATGTTCTTATAGGCATGTCAAGCTCAACAGAACAAAACTAGTCATTACTTTTCCTCTGAGAATCACCCCCTCTTCTGAATTCATATTGAAGGGCACCACCATCCTCTCGGTTATCCAGGCTCACAAGTTAAGGTGTGATTTTTGATTCCTATTTTGAATTCACCCAACATATCAAATCTGTTATCAAATCCCTACATTTCAACTTTTACAGTATCTCTCCTATATATCCCCCTCTCTTTTCTGACATAGCCACCATCCTGTTATAGGCCCTCATCATTTCTTGTCTGGACTACTGCAATAGACTTGTAATTGGTCTTCTTGACTCAAGTTTCTCTTCACTCCAATTTATCCTTTTCTCAGCTATCAGTTATTTTCTCAAAGAGTAAATCTGGCCATGTCCCTTCCCTACTCAACAAATTCCAGCGTCTCTCTCTGTTGCTTCCAGCATCAAATATAAATCCTTTGTTTGGTACTTAAAGCTCTTCACAACCTGGAGCCTTTCTACCTTTCCAGTGTTCTTCCAACTTACTGTCACCTTTGTACCTTCTATGATCTAGCCATGGGCAGGGACTGTTATTGCCTTTCCTTACAAAAGTGTCTGGCATATTGTAAACACTTAATAAATCTCTGTTGAAGGACTGATGAGACTGGTATACTTTAAAAAAAATAAAAAGAGGCAGGACAAGTTTAATTACCTCCATTTTATAGGGAATAGCATATAGGAATCATAATTCTAAGCTGGTGGTAAACTTATATATGCTGTGGTTTGATTGTTACTTTATTTCTCACGTTAGACAAAAAATGTAGTTTGGACAGTACTCAGTATCAGGAACAGTAAGTAAGGATTGCTCCTTACCTTTGTGCTGGGGTACTATAGCTGTTATCATAGGAGTCATAACTTTGCTCATCATAAGCAGTGCCATATCCATCATCATACTCCTGAAAAAAATATTAACAGAAAAAGCATGGATAAAAATTCTAACACAATAAAATCCTGAAGGAAAAAAGACACATGTAATAAAATAAAATGTCTTGGCTCTCACTGGATATTTAATAAAATGAACAGGACTCAAAAAGCATCTCCATAAAGTGATCATGTAGGATTTTGAATCTAAAAAGTATTACCAAATACATTTAAATTTAAGAAGCAATGGATCATTATTGCACATTTATTAATTTTAGGTCTACTTTCAATTTCTCAGTTCCCAAGGCTATCTTACTGTCTGGAATTGCTATCTAAATCAAAAGTTTTAGGGCATCATTTCAGCAAAGGGATACTATTAATATTAAGAACATGTATAAGATGGGGTGAAATTTTGGGACTTAAAATCTTGTGGAAGTAAATGTTGAAAACTAAAAATAAATAAATCAATTAAAAAAACAAAAACAAAAAACAAACAAAAAAGAATATGTATAATGATTATAAACCAAATACAGGTTTTACATCTTGGGGTATATAACTGAATTCAACTGAAGACTTTTACAATGAATCCCAAAAAACAAACACAAAATTACTGCATAAAATAACAAACTGATCAGTTTTGCAAAGATTAAACTCTATGTTTATTTTAAAAATCTCGAAATAGCAGCTCCCATTTCTATACTTTTAAAGTTTACAAAGCACTTTCTGTACAAAAGGCTCAAAGGTGGCAAAGGGACTTCTTTAGGATCAAACAGCCTTTATCTCTTGGTTTGGGGAATCTCCTGATTCCAAGTTCAGGGATCTTTCTATTTCAGTCCCTGCCTTTTACAGTTATATTGTGTACTAGGGGATTGGCCAATGTTCCCTGTCCTGGGTGCAAGCTCAAAATACTCTGTCTGCAACACCTCTAGGGGAGTTGAGCTTCCTTCTGGAAATTTTGCATGAAAACACGTAATGGGAGGTGGGAGCATGTGCAGGAATACCAGGACTGTTTGCTGATCACTTACATTATGGTCAAGAAAAGCCTTTTAAATGGCTGCTCAGCTGTAACTAAGTGTGTAATTCCAAAGGACAATGCGAAACAGGTCTTTCCTTCCTTCTGGCCACAAAGTATAAAGATGAGTCTAAGCTCTGGGAAGGACAGGAGGGCATTCTCTCCACCATCTCTGTCTGTGAATGCATGGATTCCCAAGCAAACCTGGGTCTGGGGACAAGGCCACTTCCTGTTTTTATCTTTATCCTCATGGGGTATGGGATGTTGTGAGAACTTGAAAAATGGTAAGTGTCATTAGAGGATCTAGCTAACCTTGAGAAAGAGATAGTCTTGAGGAGACATGTTTGAACTGGCCAAGGAGTGGAGTGCTCTGGCATCCAAGATGTCATATCCTTGGAGGAATGGAACTACTTGTCCAGCACCGTGGATACAAATAGTAACCCTCTCTCTATTCAAACAAGTCACATTCTAAAGAGGGAGACAACAGGATATAATGATGTTCAGACAAAACACTGATAAGAGTAAGTGGAAGGTGATCTCAGAGATAAAAGCATTGTGAAAAGGTCTCCTGCAGAAGGTATAATTCATGATGACTCTTCAAAGAAGTTAGGAGGGAGAGCATAAAGGTGTGAGTCAGGACATGGAATGTCCTGAGTAATAAGAAAGCCATAGTAGTAGGTTCTAGTGTGTATAGAAAGTTAAATAAAGTTTAAGAAGACTGAAAAGGTACAAAGAAACCATGTTGTAAAGACCTTTGAATGACAAAAAGAAGATGTTATATTTGATCCTGGTGGTAAGAGGGAGCCACTAGAATTTATTAATTATGTGTATGGTAAAATAGTGAAATTTATGATTTAGGAAAATTACTTTGACAGCTGAAGGGAGAAGGGATTGAAGTGGGGAGACAGGTGAAACAGGAAGACCAATTTAAAAGGTACTACAGTAATCAAAGAAAGAGGTAATAAGAATTAATACTAGTGTTAGCTGTGTAATAGAGAGAAAGGGATGTAAATGAACTCTTACCTATGACAGTAGCTGTGTGAACAAGAACATGTATGTACTACAATCTCTTTCTGCCTCAATCAACTCTATAAGACTGAGTTATAGACAGACTCAATTTGCTCTGGGTAGAATAAGTTGCTTTATGGACAAAATCCTAGGTCTTTTAAATATTAATGTCAGGTCGTACATGGTATTATTTAATTTAGTTAGAATTCGCAGATTATTTGGTCACTGGATACTTCACTTCTGCATATTTAATTTTTTTGGAAGTGGAAATCAAACGAAAAATTCAGCTTAGGTGTTTTAAAGATTTTATTTTATGATGATTTCTCAATAAGATTTTGCTTTGGGATGAATTTTTATCTATATTATCATACTTGGAAACCATAATTTTCCATGTGATCTTGCCTTGGTAGCACATAAATAGTACCAACTTTCACCACATTATTCCCAAATTAATACCACTGTAGTGAAATTTGTCATCATATAAAACTTTTCTTAGCTGCTTATGTAAAACACAGTGCTTTGAAAAATGTAGCACATGTAAGCACTAGTGCTACTTCTCAAACCTCCCACTCTCAGTGGCAGATTGGGAATTAAGGCAGCTAAATCTCTTTTCAGAGTTTTAGGGTTAACCCTGAGGGACTCTTACCTTATTTTACGACGCCAGAAAATTTTATATTTGATCCTGGGGGTAATGTAGAACAACTGCAGTTTATTAAGTAACAGTGATGGTGTGACCATATAGCGAGACATGTATGTGCTTCAGGACAATCACCTTTGCAGTATAATGGGACTAAATGGGATGGGACCCAAGGCAGGGAAACCAACCAGAAATAGGCCAGATATGAGGTGATAAGGGCCTGCACAAAGGTGGCAAGTGTGTAAGTGAAGAGATGGGGAAGTTTGTAAGAGATATTATGAAGGCAAAAATGACAAAACTTGACAAAAGACTGGATATGTGTGCTAAGTGAGAGAGAGAAGGCAAGGATAACACCAATGTTGCGGGAGTTACCCCAGAGGATGATGGTACCCTTGAAAATAATAAGAAAGCTGGGAAAAGAAGAGGGTTTGAGGAGGCCAAATGAGTTCTGTTTGAGACATGACAAGTTTAAGACATCCATGGGCCATGCAATTCCAATGGCTAAAGGCACTTGATGATGTAAAACTAGTACTCAGGAGAGAGATTAAGTTTGGATAAATAGATCTGGAAATCATTTGAATGGAAATGGTAATTACACCCATGGGAACTGATAAGATTACCAAGGTAGATAGTACAGAGAAAAAACAGAAGAGGGCCCAGAAAGATCATACAAATAGGAAAAGGACCTATATGTACAAAAATATTTATAGCAGCTCTTTTTGTGGTGGCAAAGACTTGGAAATTGAGAGGATGCCCATCAACTGGGGAATGGCTGAACAAGTTGTAGTATATGAATGTAATGGAATACTATTGCGCTATAAGAAGTGATCAACAGGCTGACTTCAGAAAAACCTGGAAAGACTTGTATGGTCTGATGCTGAGTGAAATGAGCAGAACCAGGAGAATGTTGTACACAGTAACAGCCACGTTGTGTGATGACTAATATTGACAGACTTAACCCTTCCCAGCAATACAAGGATCTAAGATATCTCCAAAGGCCTCATGATGGAAAATGCGATCCACATCCAAAGAAAGAACTATGGAGTTTGAATGCAGATCGAAGTATACTATTTGCTGTTTTTTTTCTTCTGTTGTATTTTGTTTCCTCTTTCTGGTGGTTCCTCCTATTGGTTCTAATTCTTACCCACAACATCACTAATGTGAAAATATGTTTAATAGGAATATATATGTATAGCCTATATCAGATTGTGCCCTGTCTTAGGGAGGGAGGTGGGAAAGGAGGGGGAGAAAAATTTAAAACTCAAAAGCCTATGGAAGTGATTGTTGATAACTCAAAATAAATTCAAAATTTTAAAAAAATAAAAATTACATGACTATGAAAGTCATGATGAAAAAAAAAGAAGGTGGCCCTAGACAGAACTTTAAGGGATATCCATGGTTAATATGCATGATGTTGATAAAGATTCATCCAGCAAAGGAAGCTGAGAAGAAGTCATTAGACAAGGAGAAGAACTAGCAGACAGTAGTGCCATGTAAACCTAGAGAGGCAAGAGCATCCAGAAAAGGCAGTGGTGAATAGAGTCAAATTTGAAGATAGGTCAAGAAGGATAAGGACAGAGAAAAGACCATTAGAGATCCCTGGCAATTTTGGAGAGTGCAGTTTCAGATGAATTGCGAAATCAGAAGCCAGACTGTAAAGGGTTTAGAATTGAGTGAGAGGAAAGAAAGAATTGGAGGCACTTATTATAGATGGTATTTTCAAAGCATATAGTAAAAAAGAGGAGGTAAGACATATGACAATAGCTAGTGAAGATGGTCAGATCAAATAAAGTTGTTTGTTTTTTTTTTAAAGGCTAGGAAGACATGAGTATATTTGTAGGCAAAAGGGAAGGAGCCATGACACAGGGAGAGGTTAAAGATTATTAGAGATAGTGAGTTGATAAGAGGGGACAATCTACAGGAGAAAAGGGAAAGGGACAGGATTAAGGGTGCCTATAAAAAGGTTTGCTTTGGCAAGGAGAAGAGCCCCTTGTCGTGTGAGACAGAAGTGATGGAGGAGATAGTGGGGAAGATGTCTCAGTGGCATACAACGAGGAAGGGTGAAGAAAAAGCAGCTCTTGGTGAATGGCATCATTTTATTCAGTGAAGTCTGAAGCAAGATCCTCAGCTGAGAGAACATGGGGGAGCGAAGGCAGTGAAAAGTCTGAGAAAGCACGGAAAGCTCTGGAATAGCCACCAGGGTGAGCAGGATAGAGAAATGATTTGGGAAGTACCAAAGCACCATGTTGCTACAGTGCGGACCCAGTTGAGATTATGAGATTATGTATAGTGGACTCAGTCAGTGTGGGTCTTGTGTTTTTTTCTCTAGCTTCATTCAGCAGCATATGTATGGTAGGACGGTCCAATTGTGATAAGCT